GCAGATGCAGTTCAATGTAGATAAATGCAAGGTTCTGAAGCTCGGGAGTGTCCATAACCCTAGCACTTATAAGTTAAATAATGTAGAACTTAGCCATACAGATTGCGAAAAGGACTTGGGGGTTATGGTAAGCAGCAACCTTAAACCAAGACAGCAATGCCTAAGCGTACGTAATAAGGCAAATAGATTACTGGGATTTATATCAAGAAGTGTAAGCAACAGAAGTCCAGAGGTCATACTGCAGCTTTATACATCATTAGTAAGGCCTCACATAAGAACATAAGAACATAAGAAAGGAGGAACACTGCAGCAGGCCTGTTGGCCCATACTAGGCAGGTCCTTTACAATTCATCCCACTAACAAACATTTGACCTACCCAATTTTCAATGCTACCCAAGAAATAAGCTCTGATGTGCAAGTCCCACTCAAATCCAACCCATCCCACTCATGTATTTATCCAACCTAAATTTGAAACTACCCAAAGTCCTAGCCTCAATAACCCAACTAGGTAGACTGTTCCACTCATCCACCACCCTATTTCCAAACCAATACTTTCCTATGTCCTTTCTAAATCTAAACTTATCTAATTTAAATCCATTACTGCGGGTTCTCTCTTGGAGAGATATCCTCAAGACCTTGTTAAATCCCCTTTATTAATACCTATCTTCCACTTATACACTTCGATCAGGTCTCCCTCATTCTTCGTCTAACAAGTGAATGTAACTTAAGAGTCTTCAATCTTTCTTCATAAGGAAGATTCTAATGCTATGTATTAATTTAGTCATCCTACGCTGAATGTTTTCTAACGAATTTATGTCCATTCTGTGATATGGAGACCAGAATTGAGCTGCATAATCTAGGTGAGGCCTTACTAATGATGTATAAAGCTGCAGTATGACCTCTGGACTTCTGTTGCTTACACTTCTTGATATAAATCCCAGTAATCTATTTGCCTTATTACGTACGCTTGGGCATTGCTGTCTTGGTTTAAGGTTGCTGCTTACCATAACCCCCAAGTCCTTTTCGCAATCTGTATGGTTAAGTTCTACATTATTTAACTTATAAGTGCTAGGGTTATGGACACTCCCGAGCTTCAGAACCTTGCATTTATCTACATTGAACTGCATCTGCCACTTTTCTGACCAAGAGTAGAGTTTGTCTAAATCCTCCTGAAGTTCCCTAACATCTACTTTGAATCAGTTATCCTACCTATCTTCGTGTCATCGGCGAATTTGCTCATATCACTAGTAATTCCTTCATCAAGATCATTGATATATATTATAAACAACAACGGGCCCAAGACTGATCCCTGTGGAACGCCACTTGTTACTGATCCCCACTCGGATTTAACCCCATTTATGGACACTCTTTGCTTCCTGTCTGTGAGCCATGATTCGATCCACGAGAGCACCCTTTCCCCAATGCCATGAGCTGCTACTTTCTTCAACAGTCTTTGGTGCGGAACTCTATCAAATGCCTTACTAAAATCTAAGTAAATAATATCAAATTCTTTATCGTGGTCAACAGCCTCAAAAGCTTTACTGAAGAAAGTTAATAAATTAGTTAGACAAGACCGGCCTCTTGTGAATCCATGCTGAGTATCATTAATCAAGCTATGCTTATCGAGATGGCTTCTTATAATCTCAGCTATAATTGACTCTAGTAATTTGCCTACAATTGAGGTCAGGGTTATTGGGCGGTAATTTGACGGTAACGACTTGTCCCCTGTTTTAAAAATAGGAATTACATTAGCCATCTTCCATATATCAGACACTGCACCTGTTTGAAGAGATAAATTAAAAATATTAGTTAATGGTTCACAGACTTCCATTTTGCATTCCTTTAGAACCCTTGAAAAAACCTCATCAGGACCCGGTGACTTATTTTGCTTCATTCGGTCTATCTGCTTCACAACCATTTCACTAGTGACTGTGATGTTACATAATTTATCTTCTTCTGATCCACTATAAAAATTAATTACCGGAATATTATTAGTGTCTTCCTGTGTAAAAACCGAGAGAAAATAATTATTTAAAATCGAGCACATTTCATTCTCTTTGTCAGTAAGATGCCCATAGTTATTTTTAAGGGGACCTATCTTATCTCTGACTTTTGTTCTATAGACCTGGAAAAAACTTTTTGGGTTAGTTTTAGAATTCCTAGCAACTTTAATTTCATAGTCAGTTTTAGAATTACTAGCAACTTTAATTTCATAGTCAGTTTTAGAATTCCTAGCAACTTTAATTTCATAGATTATGCAGCTCAATTCTGGTCTCCATACTACAGAATGGACATAAATTCGTTAGAAAACATTCAGCGTAGGATGACTAAATTAATACATAGCATTAGAAATCTTCGTTATGAAGAAAGATTGAAGACTCTTAAATTACATTCACTTGTTAGACGAAGAATGAGGGGAGACCTGTTCGAAGTGTATAAGTGGAAGATAGGTATTAATAAAGGGGATATTAACAAGGTCTTGAGGATATCTCTCCAAGAGAGAACCCGCAGTAATGGATTTAAATTAGATAAGTTTAGATTTAGAAAGGATGTAGGAAAGTATTGATTTGGAAATAGGGTAGTTGATAAGTGGAACAGTTTACCTAGTTGGGTTATTGAGGCTAGGACCTTGGGCAGTTTCAAATTTAGGCTGGATAAATACATGAGTGAGAGGGGTTGGATTTGAGTGGGACTTGCATATCAGAGCTTATTTCTTGGGTAGCATTGAAAATTGGGTTGGGCAAACGTTTTGTTAGTGGGATGAATTGTAAAGGACCTGCTTAGTTTGGGCCAACAGGCCTCCTGCAGTGTTCCTCCTTTCTTATGTTCTTATGACTTGATAATGGTTCATGAGGAACTGAAATGTTTTCTTGGTTTTCCTTTCTGAGGTATTAAGTCACTGATCAACGCTCATTTTCTGGCCAATGATATTACATTGATTTTAGGGTAAGTTTGTGGTGATGATTCTAAATATGTCATTGGTTTTGCTTGATTGGCTCTAGTTTTTAATAAATTTGGTATCCCATTGAAAATCATAAAAGACGTGAAAAATATATTGATCAGGCGGGGCTAACTTACAAATTGCATTAAAATTATTTTTTATATCATGCAAAAGTAAAATCATATAATACATTTTACCACTTCATTCTGTATAACAGATTAACATAGTAAGATAATTCAGATACCACTAATTACTACATATGAAAACATTGTATGATTTTCTTCTATGTTAGTCATCAGCACAGTTTTGTTGAGTAATTGGAAGAGATGTATATTGGTTACCATTGTGCAATAAGACACGTTTCAAGCTTCTAATGGAGCTGTCCATAAACAGCTGCCAATCCCCTGGTTGGTATTCAAATCCCATTCGAGGAAGAAGTCCAGGGATGTTATTGCAGTATACAAGTTCATCTTGGCTGAAGTAAGGAAGGAATTCAGCCTCTCTTGTCTGATAAGCTGTTATTTTAACTTTTTGTTGTAGACAGTTCTTTTCTTTTAGTCTGGATGTTAAAAGTTCAGATGCTTACTTTGACAGACTGAAGCCATGTATCAAATTCACTTCCACCACTGTCACCTGTGTTACATCCTAAATGCTGAGTTTCTTCAACATCTGACAACACAAGGTCAGGCAGTATTGTAAACACTGGTATGGGAATGCTTTGCTGTGTAGCACAGGTGTTCTTGCTGACTCCAAATCAGGATATTACTGCTTGACTTTCTTGTACCGGTTGAAACTTTTCACATTCACCATACAGAAATAACAATCTGCTTTCTCCACACCATAGGCACACCCAAGTTTAAGCTTTTCCACTGTTTGAAGCATTCTGCACAGGTTTTGCAACCATATGGGAAGCTTAAAACTTGTTCTCTAAGCATCACTCCAAAATAAGCAAGATAAGCTTGTTTTACAAAATCTATGATGTTTTTTCTTTATCTTTGCAAAGGGTATTTGCCACAAATGTAGCAAAATACAATGGGATTATTTAAACAAGCTCTTCATGAAGAATTAATGTTGATCTGGACAAAATAACAAAAAAGTTAAAATATTGTCATGTGGTCATCTTTGATAAAAGTCCTTTTGTTAAATATTAAATCATTTAAAAATAAAATTCTAATCTTTTATTAAAACTATCTGTACATACAAATTTCCACCACATATACGTGCCATTTTTTGAATTCAGCAGTCCCTAAATTATCCTAAATACCTTCAAATATCTTCAGCATTTATTTTTTTTTGTTGACCAGTGATATGAGTTATTGTTACCATTGTGTATCTTAGTATGTAACAGTATTAAAGTTATTGTTACAGTTGTGTATGCTAGTATGTTAGTGTATTAAAGTAGTTACAGTTGTGTATGCTAGTATGTTAGTGTATTAAAGTAGTTACAGTTGTGTATGCTAGTATGTTAGTGTATTAAAGTAGTTACAGTTGTGTATCTAGTATGTTAGTGTATTAAAGTAGTTACAGTTGTGTATGCTAGTATGTTAGTGTATTAAAGTAGTTACAGTTGTGTATGCTAGTATGTTAGTGTATTAAAGTAGTTACAGTTGTGTATGCTAGTATGTTAGTGTATTAAAGTAGTTACAGTTGTGTATGCTAGTATGTTAGTGTATTAAAGTAGTTACAGTTGTGTATGCTAGTATGTTAGTGTATTAAAGTAGTTACAGTTGTGTATGCTAGTATGTTAGTGTATTAAAGTAGTTACAGTTGTGTATGCTAGTATGTTAGTGTATTAAAGTAGTTACAGTTGTGTATACTAGTATGTTACTTCTCTATTTAAATTACACCTCTGTGAACCTTATTATTTTTATTTAATGTATATTTTATTGAATCATTTGAATTATAATGTTTATGTTCATCTGGCAAGAGAGCTATGGTGTGAGTGATGGTTAATGCATTTCCTCTTTTTTGTTGGGTCATCCTGTCTAGGTGGGGGATGGCCAGCATTTTTAAAGTGAATTATTAATTTTGTATTAATTTATTTTTCTTTTTATTATAGACAAGCTCCGATTGGTGATGACAATTATCTGCTTCTGGCATCTAGTATTGCAAAGTTCGACTCCAGTACAAGTGGAACTGAGGTGACAGTTCCAGTTCGCAAAACATCGAGCAGTCCATGCTGACCCTACAAAGTTCAACTCCAGTACAAGTGGAAGTGAGGTGACAGTTCCAGTTCGCCAAACATCGAGCAGTCCATGCTGACCTTACAAAGTTCAACTCCAGTACAAGTGAAATGGAAGTGAAGTGATGGTTCCAGTTTGCAGAACATCAAGCAGTCCATGCTGAACTTACAAAGTTCACCTGCAGTACAAATGGAAGTCCATGCTGGCTGTGTGTACTGTCCATGAAATAATTGTTAGTTACTGATGTTATGTGATTGTAACAGTGTAACTGTCTTGGGGGTGTGTGCTTCAGTTGATGTTATGTGATTGTAACAGTGTAACTGTGTCTAGGTGTGGTAGTGAGGTTGATGGTTCAGATGAGGATATTGATGTTAGCTCTGCAAGTGTCTCTCCATTGGTAGAGAGATAATGTCAGGTCTTGCCACACTGTTGGTTCATGCCCCCAGCACTAACACATGATGACAGTTCAGTTCAGCATGTTTGTGAATGGGTAACTAGAATGCAAGTTTCACCACATGAAAACAGTGTGATGAATACTAGTAATGGAAGCAGTGTCCTCACACACTAAACTGCTGCTGTATCCACTAGGTTATCCAGTGTACAAAACAAGTATGTTGAATAATAGTAATGGAAGTAGTGTCCTCACACAATAAACTGCTGCTGTATCCACTAGGTTATCCAGTGTACAAAACAAGTATGTTGAATAATAGTAATGGAAGCAGTGTCCTCACACACTAAACTGCTGCTGTATCCACTAGGTTTCCCAGTGTACAAAACAAGTATGTTGAATAATAGTAATGGAAGTAGTGTCCTCACACACTAAACTGCTGCTGTATCCACTAGGTCTCCCAGTGTACAAAATCTTGTAAACCTGATTGTTGGAGTCAGCTTTGTTAAGGTGTCACAGGTGTACCTGACAGGTGTGATGGACATGTCATTTGTACTGTATTTCAGAAGGATTTAAATGATTTGCTGTAACAGTACTGAATGTTGACTGTAGTATGAACTCAGACACTATTTTCATCATTATAGCTCTGCAGTAAAATGAAAATGGATTGAATATAAGTAAGTAAGTAAGTTTATTCAGGTATACACAAATACAGTTACATAGAATTATCATACATAGCAGTATATGTGTAGAGAACCTGGGATAACCCATAGAGGTAGGGTAAAACAGAAAAAAGTAAACACATTCACACCATCATTCTGTCAGTCCCTGTCTTTGCAGAAGTGTATTGACATTATTGTAAAGGTGAACCTTCAACTGCAGCATCCTCATCTCTCCTTCAGGGTTCTAGCACTGTACTTCTTACCTCCAGGGCTATAACATTTCCACACATCCTTCAGAGTACAGGCACTGTACTTCCTACCTCATGGACTGTAATACCCTCACTTATCCTTCAGATCCTAGTGGGTTTAGCACTTGGTTTTGATTATAATAATAATCAGCCTTCGGAGTGCAAGCACTGTACTACCCACCTCTAGGACTATAACATCACTCTTCCTTCAGAGTGCAAGCACTGTACTACCCACCTCTAGGACTATAACATCACTCTTCCTTCAGAGTGCAAGCACTGTACTACCCACCTCTAGGACTATAACATCACTCTTCCTTCAGAGTGCATGTACTGTACTACCCACCTCTAGGACTATAACATCACTCTTCCTTCAGAGTGCATGTACTGTACTACCCACCTCTAGGACTATAACATCACTCTTCCTTCAGAGTGCATGTACTGTTATCCCAGTGAGTTTATCCAAATTATGTTTTCATGTAGGAGGCTTGAGTGGTGGTGTTCCTCTATAGTGGACTCTGAACAGCAGGTGAAGCCTTCACTCTCATGTGTAAGGAACATTATGTTCATAAGAGTTTTTACTGTGGATGGTTGAGCCAGTACTGTGTTTAACCCTTAAACTGTCCAAACAGATCTAACATTCACATGCGTAGTGCTCCAAAAGTAGATCTATGTTTTTTTTTTTACATTTTTTTTTTCAACAAGTCGGCCGTCTCCCACTGAGGCAGTGTGACCCAAAAGAGAAAGAAAATCCCCAAAAAGAAAATACTTTCATCATCATTCAACACTTTCACCTCACTCACACATAATCACTGTTTTTACAGAGGTGCTCAGAATACAACAGCTTAGAAGTATATACGTATAAAAATACGCAATATATCTCTCCAAACACACACATTTATTTATCTCTCCAAACTGCCAATATTCCAAACCCTTCCTTTGGAGTGCAGGCACTCCAGGACTCAAGTCCGGTTATATAAAATAACCGGTTTCCCTGAATCCCTTCACTAAATATTACCCTGCGCACACTCCAACAGATCGTCATATTTTCAAATATAACAAAAAAAAAAAATGTATAAGTTTTTTACAAGTTTTCAAATTAAAAAAAAAAAAAAAGAAGGTCTACGTTTTTTTACATACTTTCAAATGTTAAAAAAACGTAGATGTACATTTGGACAGTTTAAGGTTTAACACACATCTTCAAGAACTAACCACACCACTAGTTATTCCAAGTACCAGATCAACCAGGCTGTGGTGACTATGGAGAAAAGTTACACAAATTGTGTATAATGTGATATTTTATAGTGAAAGGATTGCATAATACTTCATTTGTGTCATTTTTCATTGTGTTGGTATTTATATTGTTTATTTTTGTTGTTATGGGGCCAACAGGCCACTAACAACAACAGCCTGAATTAACAGACAAGGAAGAGGTAAGCTTGGCTGCACAGTAAGATTAAGCAGAAGCTTAAAGCTGGTGAGATGTATGTGAGAGGTGAGTGGAAACACTCACCAGTATTCCTACCAAATTCATTAATTTAATAATGTACATGGACTATGACTATGATGGTTATCCTCTTGACTTATGGATGCTGCTGTGAGGTTCAGTCCATTGCTACACCTTTCTGACCAGTCTGAAAATTGGTACCAGTATAAGAGGTACAATAGACTGATATTTGTGCAAATTATTGACCCATTAATATATAGAAGGTGTCAAGGTTACAAGCACTCAAAGTTACAAACTTTGGCAAGTGCAAAACCAGTTTAAGTTCCACAAGCAGTGAGCAGCAGTTACCAACGTGTTTCAGACATGGCCGTCCACTCTAGTTTGTTTTCTATACATAAAAACTTTCTGTAAGTTGAAAGGAAAACAATCTTTAGGCTTGAATATCAAGAAACTTCAAGTTGAGAAAGTCACTGGAACTGCAACTTATAAGTTATTGTATGTTCTATATATGAGAATGATTATTTATGTTCAAGATAATTCATTATGTTAGGTAAAAGTACACATGTGCAACTAATTCATCACTTTTATTGTGGGAATGTTTTGGTGCAGGAGCTGCTGGAGAGCACAACATTACCACAGTAAATGTCACATTAGTTACACGTGTCTTGTTATCCAAGATGTTGTGGCTAATTCTACCAACATTATTATAATTCATTAACTGACCTATCATCTTCACTATATTGTGAGGTATGTATAATGCAAAGTGTAATGTTTAAAATTGTGTGTATCATTCCACTAACATTATTTGTTGAGCATGTTTGTAATGCTCTTGCAACATACAAATAATACTATAGGTAATTGCTAGAAAATGAACATTTTACACAGATTGTTACAGCATTTCAGCCCATGTCAAATGAAACAGATATAGGCAGTATTTTATTCCATAAAAGATGGAATAAAGAGTGTAACTTAACAATTATAATGCAGAAAGGTAATGATGAAGAATGATAATGACAAATAATGATGAAGGGTAATGATGAAGGGTAATAATGGACCAAACATAATATAATATAATTGTTAATAAACTATTTTCTCTAAATAGGTTATACATTGAGGCTATGACCAAGAATTTTATAGTATATAAGTTAGGATAAATATTTGTTATTTAGTTTTATAAGTGATAACTGCTGGTCAAGATAAATGTTCTCTTTACTTTTGTTTATGACAAGTATTGAAGGTTTGACTTTATTGTCACTCATGTCACTTTACTGGTTGTAAAGTTTACACTTCACCTCTGAAGTGATCATTTAGTGTTGCAGGTACAGTACTGTAGTGACAACACTTGTAGCAGTGTTGCAGGTACAGTACTGTAGTGACAACACTTGTAGCAGTGTTGCAGATACAGTACTGTAGTGACAACACTTGTAGCAGTGTTGCAGGTACAGTACTGTAGTGACAACACTTGTAGCAGTGTTGCAGGTACAGTACTGTATGTGACAACACTTGTAGCAGTGTTGCAGGTACAGTACTGTAGTGACAACACTTGAAGCAGTGTTGCAGGTACAGTACTGTAGTGACAAACACTTGTAGCAGTGTTGCAGGTACAGTACTGTAGTGACAACACTTGTAAGCAGTGTTGAGGTACAGTACTGTAGTGACAACACTTGTAGCAGTGTTGCAGGTAAAAGTACTGTAGTGACAACACTTGTAGCAGTGTTGCAGGTACAGTACTGTAGTGACAACACTTGTAGCAGTGTTGCAGGTACAGTACTGTAGTGACAACACTTGTAGCAGTGTTGCAGGTACAGTACTGTAGTGACAACACTTGTAGCAGTGTTGCAGATACAGTACTATAGTGATAACACTTGATGCAGTGTTGCAGATATAGTATTGTAGTGACAACACTTGATGCAGTGTTGCATATACTTTACTGTAGTGACAACACTTGATGCAGTGTTGCAGATGCAGTATTGTAGTGACAACACTTGATGCAGTGTTGTTGCATAAATTTTCAAAATGTTCAACACTGAAAAGCTTCCATTATTGAATCTGCAATGTGCCATAAGCCAGTCTTGCAGGAACTTGTAACAAAAATATTTTTTGATCTTGCAATGTGTGCCAAGTGTCATTAGGGTTCATTTTGAGTCTGCCGCATCACATTCTAAGCCAGCATCGCACAAAGCTTTCAAAAGTTCAGTTTTTTAATGTGCTGCTGCAGTGTGCTAAGCCAGTGTGTTAAGTCAGTGTGTTAAGCCAGTGTGTTAAGTCAGTGTGTTAAGTCAGTGTGTTAAGCCAGTGTGTTAAGCCAGTGTGTTAAGCCAGTGGTTCAAGTCAGTGTGTAAGCCATGTGAGTGTCAAGCCAGTTTTAAGCCAGTGTGTTAAGTCAGTGTGTGAAGCTGTGTGTTGTTAAGCCAGTGTTCAGCTGTGTTAAGTCAGTGTGTTAAGCCAGTGTGTCAAGCCAGTGTGTTAAGTCAGTGTGTGAAGCCTGTGTGTGTGTCAAGCCAGTGTGTTAAGCCAGTGTGTTAAGCCTGTGTGTGTGCTAAGCCAGTGTGTCAAGCCTGTGTGTGTGTTAAGCCAGTGTGTGTGTTAAGTCAGTGTGTCAAGCCTGTGTGTGTGTTAAGCCAGTGTGTCAAGCCAGTGTGTTAAGTCAGTGTGTGAAGCCTGTGTGTGTGTCAAGCCAGTGTGTTAAGCCAGTGTGTCAAGCCAGGTGTGTTAAGTCAGTGTGTAAGCCTGTGTGTGTGTCAAGCCAGTGTGTTAAGCCAGGTGCAAGCTGTGTGTTCAAGCCAGTGTGTCAAGCCTGTGTGTGTGTTAAGCCAGTGTGTTAAGTCAGTGTGTCAAGGCTGTGTGTGTGTTAAGCCAGTGTGTTAAGCCAGTGTGTTAAGTCAGTGTGTGAAGCCTGTGTGTGTGTTAAGCCAGTGTGTTAAGTCAGTGTGTGAAGCCTGTGTGTGTGTTAAGCCAGTGTGTTAAGTCAGTGTGTGAAGCCTGTGTGTGTGTTAAGCCAGTGTGTCAAGCCAGTGTGTGTGCTAAGCCAGTGTGTGTGTTTAGCCATTGTGTGTGTTAAGCCATTGTGTGTGTTAAGCCAATGTGTGTGTTAAGCCAGTGTGTGTGTGTTAAACCAGTGTGTATACCTGGAGAGGGTTTTGGGGGTCAAGGCCCCTATGACCCTGTCTGTGACCAGGCCTCATGGTGGATCAGGGCCTCATCAACCAGGCTGTTACTGCTGGCTGCACACAACCCCACATACAAACCACAGCCCAGCTGGTCAGGTACTGACTTTAGGTGGAAATAAATGGTATAAAATACCGACACAGTGGAAATATAAACACATGCAGTATAATGTGATCCTTTATTGACAATGTTTCGCCCACACAGTGGGCTTTTTCAAGTCACAAACACATCTACCTGGGGTGGAAGGTACACGAGTATTTATAGTCAGGTTCAGAATGCTGGGTCAGGTGGAGAATGCTGCATCTGATGATGTACCGAGTGGGGTTATAGAGTCTAAAATCTTGGGTAGCTTGGAAGGGAGATTTGTTAAGTTTGTGAGCAGACCTTCTGCAGTGTTCTTCCATTCCTATGTTCTTATGTGGGATAGTGATGAAGATTGCCAAGAAACTTCTTCATCGCTATCTCACATAAGAACATAGGAATGGAGGAACACTGCAGAAGGTCTGCTCACAAACTTATCCAATCTCCCTTCCAAGCTACCCAAGATTTTAGACTCTATAACCCCACTCGGTACATCATCAGATGCAGCATTCTCCACCTGACCCAGCATTCTGAACCTGACTATAAATACTCGTGTACCTTCCACCCCAGGTAGATCTGTTTGTGACTTGAAAAAGCCCACTGTGTGGGCAAAACATTGTCAATAAAGGATCACATTATACTGCACATGTGTTTATATTTCCACTGACTTTAGGTGTTTGTCCAGTGCCTTCTTGAAGACAGCCAGGGGTCTATTGGTAACCCCCCTTATGTATGCTGGGAGGCAGTTGAACAGTCTTGGGCCCCTGACACTTATTGTGTTGTCTCTTATTGTGCTAGTGACACCTCTGCTTTTCATTGGGGGGATGGTGCATCGTCTGCCAAGTCTTTTGCTTTCGTAGTGAGTGATTTTCGTGTGCAAGTTCGGTACTAGTCCCTCTAGGATTTTCCAGGTGTATATAATCATGTATCTCTCCCTCCTGCGTTCCAGGGAATACAGGTTTAGAAACCTCAAGCGCTCCCAGTAATTGAGGTGTTTTATCTCCGTTATGCGCGCCGTGAAAGTTCTCTGTACATTTTCTAGGTCAGCAATTTCACCTGCCTTGAAAGGTGCTGTTAGAGTGCAGCAATATTCCAGCCTAGATAGAACAAGTGACCTGAAGAGTGTCATCATGGCTTGGCCTCCCTAGTTTTGAAGGTTCTCATTATCCATCCTGTCATTTTTCTAGCAGATGCGATTGATACAATGTTATGGTCCTTGAAGGTGAGATCCTCCGACATAATCACTCCCAGGTCTTTGACGTTGGTGTTTCGCTCTATTTTGTGGCCAGAATTTGTTTTGTACTCTGATGAAGATTTAATTTCCTCATGTTTACCATATCTGAGTAATTGAAACTTCTCATCGTTGAACTTCATATTGTTTTCCGCAGCCCACTGAAAGATTTGGTTGATGTCCGCCTGGAGCCTTGCAGTGTCTGCAATGGAAGACACTGTCATGCAGATTCGGGTGTCATCTGCAAAGGAAGACACGGTGCTGTGGCTGACATCCTTGTCTATGTCGGATATGAGGATGAGGAAACAAGATGGGAGCTAGTACTGTGCCTTGTGGAACAGAGCTTTTCACCGTAGCTGCCTCGGACTTTACTCTGTTGACGACTACTCTCTGTGTTCTGTTAGTGAGGAAATTATAGATCCATCGACCGACTTTTCCTGTTATTCCTTTAGCACGCATTTTGTGCGCTATTACGCCATGGTCACACTTGTCGAAGGCTTTTGCAAAGTCTGTATATATTACATCTGCATTCTTTTTGTCTTCTAGTGCATTTAGGACCTTGTCGTAGTGATCCAATAGTTGAGACAGATAGGAGCGACCTGTTCTAAACCCATGTTGCCTGGGTGTGTAACTGATGGGTTTCTAGATGGGTGGTGATCTTGCTTCTTAGGACCCTTTCAAAGATTTTTATGATATGGGATGTTAGTGCTATTGGTCTGTAGTTCTTTGCTATTGCTTTACTGCCCCCTTTGTGGAGTGGGGGCTATGTCTGTTGTTTTTAGTAACTGAGGGACAACCCCCGTGTCCATGGTCCCTCTCCATAGGATGGAAAAGGCTCGTGATAGGGGCTTCTTGCAGTTCTTGATGAACACAGAGTTCCATGAGTCTGGCCCTGGGGCAGAGTGCATGGGCATGTCATTTATCGCCTGTTCGAAGTCATTTGGCGTCAGGATAACATCGGATAGGCTTGTGTTAATCAAATTTTGTGGCTCTCTCATAAAAAATTCATTTTGATCTTCGACTCTCAGTCTGGTTAGCGGCTTGCTAAAAACTGAGTCATATTGGGACTTGAGTAGCTCACTCATTTCCTTGCTGTCATCTGTGTAGGACCCATCTTGTTTAAGTAGGGGCCCAATACTGGACGTTGTTCTCAATTTTGATTTGGCATAGGAGAAGAAATACTTTGGGTTTCTTTCGATTTCATTTATGGCTTTTAGTTCTTCCCGCGATTCCTGACTCCTAAAGGATTCTTTTAGCTTAAGTTCGATGCTTGCTATTTCTCTGACCAGTGTCTCCCTACGCATTTCAGATATATTGACCTCTTTTAGCCGCTCTGTTATTCTTTTCCGTCGCCTGTAAAGGGAGCGCCTGTCTCTTTCTATTTTACATCTACTCCTCCTTTTTCTTAGAGGAATAAGCCTTGTGCATACATCGAGTGCCACCGAGTTAATCTGTTCTAGGCATAAGTTGGGGTCTGTGTTGCTTAGTGTATCTTCCCAGCTTATATCGGTTAGGACTTGGTTTACTTGGTCCCACTTTATGTTTTTGTTATTGAAGTTGAATTTGGTGAATGCTCCCTCGTGACTAGTCTCATTTTGTCAGTCTGGGGCTCCACACATACATGTCTGAACCTCAATTATGTTGTGATCTGAGTATATTGTTTTTGATATGGTGACATTTCTTATCAGATCATCATTGTTAGTGAAGATGAGGTCTAGTGTATTCTCCAGTCTAGTAGGCTCTATTATTTGCTGGTTTAAATTGAATTTTGTGCAGAGATTTAAAAGCTCGTGCGAGTGTGAGTTTTCATCAGAGCTGCCTCCTGGTGTTATTACTGCAACAATATTATTTGCTATATTCCTCCATTTTAGGTGCCTTAAGTTGAAATCCCCCAGGAGCAAGATGTTGGGTGCAGGAGCTGGAAGATTTTCCAGACAGTGGTCAATTTTTAACAGCTGTTCCTGGAATTGCTGGGATGTTGCATACGGAGGCTTGTAGACTACCACAATGACTAGGTTTTGGTTCTCGACCTTTACTGC